GTTACTAAAGAGTTGCCACAGCGGGATTTTGTTAGTCTAAGTTGCCTCTACTATGGCTCACACTATGCGCCATACAAAAATGATCTGAGGAGGTTTGAAAGCCATGCGGCTTTCCAACCTCCGCTGCCAGCCTGCCACCCACTCACAGGAAAGTCTTCAGGAGTAAACCTCAAGGAAAAATTTTCAGTCTCAGTCCCAAAGGCAGCTGGCTGTTAAATGAGAAGTGCTCAAAAATTGACGGATTGTATTACTAGTGGTTTTTTAAGTAGGAAGCTAAATAAAAATAAATCCTCCCGGCAACTCCTCAGGGTTGCAAAAAACCCAGGGTTTTTTAATTGCCCAACCCACCTGGGTTTTATTGAAAAAAATATAATTCAGTCAGTACTCACTGCAGTGAGTGACAGAGAGCGCATTTTCTCGTCGACGAAAACTTGAGGTCACGGACGGACGGACAGACGGACGGACAGACGGACATGGCGAGCACAATAGTGCATTTTTTCTGTAAATGAGAAAATGCGCTATAAACAGGATTTTATTGAAAAAACCGGGCAAGTTGACTAAAATGGGTTTTATAACTTTTTTCACTTCTAGCATTCATACTTATCTACAAATTCTTTATAATTTATGTTCAGCATTGGAAATTTCATTCTATATAGTATCAATTTCTATTATTACATTTTCCATAACTTTTAATCCAATAATTCTTAATTTTTTAAACAGTGATTCAATTTATGATGCTTAATTAAAACGATTTATCACTATAAGTAAAACATGACAAATCTCTGTCAGAGAGGGGAAAATTATATATACAAATCAATGTGAAAAATATATATTGAAACAATTAACCAAATTCTTTGATGTGTTCTAGTTTCTCAAAACTCAAATAGTGCAAGCTTCTAAAAAAACATTTCAGTTTCTTCCTCATAATTATTGAATAATTAGACTAATCACTTTGGAATTTGTACCAAACCTTTAGGCTTTTACTATTTTAAGTGCTACTCAACTTAATTAACAATTCGACTTTTAAATTGATACTTCAAGAAGAATTTATCGCTAAATAATATCAAAATTGCGTCAGCGTTATCTGATCATAACGGTCCTTGAAGCACACCTAATTGCCAATGACCTATAGGTCATCGGCTAATTTCTTAATGTCTTATTTCTTAAAGGCCTAATTTAAATTGCTAATTTCTTAAAGTGAATAGAGAATCCGTATTCATTCAAAGTCCGTCAGGGAACAGATTTGAAAAAATTGAAAATGATGAAAATCATAAGATATCCCAGTTACTTTTTTCTGTGCACTAATTCTACTCATTGTGCTAGTGTTAGAATTCACACAAGGCGTTTACCTAACATGAATAGCTTACGTAATAGCATTTTTAATTGGAGAAAATGCAGTGCAGACCCGGTTTTCAGAAGTCGACTAAATCGCCGTTCGACCAAGTAGCCCGAGAAAATTTTGCAGTGATATTTGATCATTTTTTTAGTGGTCGAATATCCATTATTTCTGCGAGGGCGTTCCTTAACGCCTGTATAAATCAAGATACGATGCACGCTCTACCGACTTCCCGATTTTGTACACCTAATTAAGTGCCGTTAATCACAAAAGTTCAAAATATACAGCAAATATTAACGAAAAATCTTATGAGCTTGACGTTACTGCTAATATGCGCACGGTGACAGCCAGTTTCAAATGAGGCAAGGACGGCAAGTTAATTTTGTCATCGTGTTTACCAGAGCTTTCTGTGACCGTGTGCGACCGTAGATTTGAATAATGCCTAGGTAATTCTGACTATTTTATACTATAATATTGAAAATAGCTTGTGTTGTGAAGTGCAGAAGGGACTGAGCTTGACAAGCATTTATAATTATGTGGGAGCGAGTTTGTGTTTAGTTTGGCATGACCGAGGGTATCGAAAGGGCTGACCCTTGCGCAACTCGAAACTGTCGCGGCGTCCCGTGGCAGGCTTAATTATGTGTGCGCGACGTCGGCCTATATAAGGACCCTAAAATTAGCGCCAAAAAGTTTTTCTACTGGGGCGACTGTCACGCCAGTACGGCTGGCAGCATATCTCTGCAGTCGTAGGTGACGGCCACGACTGTCGGCCAGCGGGGTCAGGAATAACGGCCGCGCGGAACTTCGAGACGTTCATATACCGCTAGTGCGCTACGACTTCGATATAATAACGTCAGAAATCTACGAGCAACGCCGTAATTTCGCTCGTTTGTAAGAACAGCGTTCATTGTTTCGGTTGTGCCTTAGCCGTGAGACTGCGCAAGAGACCAAAAGATTTACAACGATTATAACGCCGGTAATCATGAAGATTCACGTTTTGAGCACTGCGCAAGAATTATATTATCGGTACGGTCATCAGCACAGCACGGCACGGCCACAGTCCTCGTCAGTAGCGGTACGGTCCACGAACACCAACAGCAGAAGAATGAGCTCGGAGTAACATCATCGACTATGAAGACGAACACCACTATTCAGAAGCACGGTCGTTATTAAACAACGGCCACACTGACCGTGAGACATCTGTAACAGCGAGAAACGAAGGTTATGGAGGAACAACGACCGCGGGCAGCGGGGCAATTAATGGCTGCGGTATGGCCGCTGGAAATACGGCCGCAAACGTGTGCCTACATTACTGTCGTTTACGACAGTAGTACTGCTCAACGAAGTTGCAATGGATCAACGTTTTCTGGTAATTTGGAAGTTTGAGTGATGGCAACTGATAGGTTCTAAACTTTGACTGTGTTCGGACTTTCTTTTACGTTTCTATTTTCCGACCAACACGAAATTTATACGTTTTTCAGTCCGATGTTCATAAAATGACCAGCGCAAGGATAACAAAATGCCGATAACATTACTTTAGATTATATTATAAAGTTATCTCAGATTACGTTTTAAAAAATTCCGAGTTTTTCCGGGAAGCAAACGGACACTCTCAAGCAGCAGCTTGAAGACTTGTTTATCGCTTATCCAGTTCATTCATACACTAAATGCTACACTTATAATAAATAAAACTAACAATTTAAAAATATAATTATATGCTCTCATACAGGATTGACGTGTGAAAATTAAATAGGTTATGCGAGTTCAGCAACCTTGGGAGCTGGCAATTATTCGTAAAAAATCTCGAATGATTGAATTGCAACGAGGGAAAAATAGCGTTGTTTTAAACAATCTAGATACACAGCTAACTGAAGTTGAATATAAATACAGAGTCTAATAATAGCAGCCTGGCCAATGCTCAGCAAAAAATACAGGCAATCCGCTACCGTAGACAATTGTAACGCAGTAGCGAGGTAGTGAACTACCACGCTACTGCGAGGTAGTAGTTAGTTCACTACCCCGCAGTAGCGAGGTAGTGAACTATCCGCAGTAGCGAGGTAGTAAACTATCCGCAGTAGCGAGGTAGTGAACTACTCCGCAGTAGCGAGGTAGTGAACTATCTGCAGTAGCGAGGTAGTGAACTACTCCGCAGTAGCGAGGTAGTGAACTACTCCGCAGTAGCGAGGTAGTGAACTATCCAATTCAGGAGACATTCAATCGTGGCTCAATTTTGCCATTAAAGTTCTTCACTACATAAAAAAATTTTTGGAGCTCCATGAGAAATTCAGTTTCTCAGCGCCTGATGAATGTACTGTAGTCATACATGAGAGAAGTGTATACATTTTTAAATTTACTGGTTTTTGTGCAGGCATAACAGGAATAACATAAACTGGTTTTCCGGTCACATTTGCGACTGTATGTTGAAATTCAACCTTCATAAACGAAAGGTATTCGTCTCTATCGAGTGCTAAACCACTCATTCCTCTGGTCAAGAGAATTGGAGAACATTAACAAATAAGACCGCTGACACAACATGACTGAGTTCATACCAAGACATGACGACAAACATGATATCATCAAACCTCATTCATATTATTCTCTCGGTATTGATGCAAATGAAATCAAATCTTGGCAGCTAGAGATAAATAAATTAACCCAATAAATTTATTGACCGTATGAATATCCAATTATAGAATATTTCTAAATTAAAGCAATAACTTAGAGAGCACGGGTCCACAACAGAGAAAATCGCCAAGTCTGATTGATCAGAACTCCAAGCCGATTAGATTAAAGAAGCTTATTTAATTAAGAATGAGTGTCATGAAATCCTTCCTACAGAACCTGAAACTAGTTTCAGACACAAGGTTTCAAGATTAAGCAATTCGAGCTGAACTGACACGGGGTGTATCGGGATTTGGGATTAATTTAGCAGGCAACTATATAGTTCAACTGATATAATTTTACGCCTTATTTCAGCAGACAGTCTCGAGAAATGAAGCTCTTTCCATCCGTCTTCTCATGTACATTCACTGTACAAGAAAATGCAGCAATAACAACCATAAAATACAAACGTCAGAAAAGGAAGTTTCTCAAAACATAAAACTAAATTTTCACAATTGGCAGGTGAAATTAGCCTTGAGCTGATGTCCATTGAAGAGGAAAATATCTACAGGACTGAAATAACAGCGGTAGTGATGATATATAAATTAACAGGCATTTCATTTGCCCAAATGTTCATTGCGATCGCGACGAAGTGAAGCAACAGCTATCGAACTAAACATTGCCTAAAAATAATGACCATTTCGGTCTACCTTCTGATGCATCAACAGCTTTAGTGACTTTCTGACAGAGTCTCTCCAGAGTCCAAATATTACAGGGTTTAATAATACTAGGAAAATTGATAATTTCAGAATACCGGAGACGGTGGACTCATGCGGGTTTGGTCAACCAACTCGTTATTCACGTTGAATCTTAATAGAAGAATTATGATTTAATATGTTGAAGCAATAAATTTACAACTAAAATGCATTTGCCTGACACGTGTCAGATTAAGAAACTCGACTAACCGAACAGAGAACAACAGGACTTGTCTTATTCGGCCGATTATTGGATCAAGATCGCTGGTAGGTTTGGTTTTTTGGGGGGTCGGAAGTTGAGAATTTGATTCTTAATTTGTGAATATATTATAATAATTAACAGAAAATCGTCTAAGTGTGCCTTCCAAATGAGAAATAAGTCTTCTGGTAGTACTTGCAGAACCTCGCAGTCAAATGCCACGTTAAGAGGAACAACGACTTATTTATACAACGCGAATGGGAATAAGCTGCCGATTGAACATCAGATATAAATAAAATTTATAATTTTGAATCATTTATGAACTTAGCATGGAACCGAGTAGAGACATGACGCATTGTGAGGTAAATTTTTACCGTAACAATATTACTTGGAACTTTAGGACAATTTCGCAAGGAAACATCTAATGAAATATTCACAGTAAAAGGTCTTGGAGATAAATCCTCACATTTATAGAAAGGCATCGCCTTTGCTCGAATGTGCAAGAAACTAAACCTTCAGTTTCACAAAAATTACAGCACTCGCTTTACAAGATCACATGAAAAATATTGTTTTGACGTTATTGAAAATACTATTGACGAGTCACGTCGAGGGAAGCAAGCAGTGAAATGTGCACCAGCGAAAGAAGCCTGAGAGACGCCGTAAGCCCAGGTCAGTAGTCCATCCATATACATAATATTTTAGGAAAGGTCCATGAGAGAGAGGTGGCTCTCCATGGGAGAGCTGGGTTCTAAGGGGGAAATTTTCAATGCAAATGTCGGTGATCGTTGAGAAAACAATGGCGGTAGTTCGCAATGAGTGAGCAGTTCGAGCGAAGTTGAAATTCGCTCAAACAAGTTTGCGCTGGATGAGATGAGAAGTTTGAGTATAAAATATGTGAAATTTATAAATGTGTGAGATGAATGATGTAGGTTGCAGGGTCTTGATTGAAGCCATACGATGATCTATAAGAATATCGTCTGTAGCATGAGCATTAGGAGCGCCGATATGGCAGCCGTCAGGGGTACGGTCACGATCCAGGCGATCACGATGTTCCTGCGCGTACAAGACGATCATGTAATGACTGCAGCTAAAGGCTCCTGACATAAAACCATTGCTACATTCGTAAATTATCTTGTATTATCCCTTAATTTATGTCATACCTTAAATAACTTGCTGAGTACATGAAAGTTAAATGGAAACGTCAATGTTTTCAAACGAATTCGACTAATAAATAGTCTTTTCTATCCGTTGCTGTTTTATTCAATTTGTTATTTCACAGCAAATGAAGAAGTCAATTATATTTCGTCGAGCTACAATAATAAAATTAAAAAGTGCTTTTACTTTAGCTGAACTCAAGGAATGAACTTTCAACCAAAAAATTTATCGGGAAATCAAATCACCTGAAGAGCCCCCAGTCGACGCCTCTTTTGGTGGACTTGGTCCAGCCGACGAAGACGACAGAGCCGACCTTGCAGTGCGTAGTCGAGATCGGCAGGCCGATCTTCGAGGCGAGGAGGACAGTGAAGGCCGAGCCCACCTCGATCGAGAAACCTGACGACGGCGTCACTTTGGTCAGGTCTTCGCCGATCGTCTTGATCACGCGTCGGCCCCACACCCAGAGGCCCACCGAGATGCCCAACTGTCAACAAAAAGCAACCGTTACTCACTCGCTCCCGCAACATACCTAAGGAAAATAAGGTGCTTAACCAACGTCGGACTGAAAAAAAATGTACGACCTTAGTATAGTACCAACTGTATGTACAGTTGTACCTAGATGACGACCACTAATAATAATTTAAAAATAATTTAAAGTTTAATCAATTTAATCAATAATTTAAAAATATGAGACAACTTGGTTGGATTCGCAATGAAGCCATGATGAATTAAGAGAACGATACTTTAATTAACGTTGACCAAGATAAATATAGAATAACCTCAGTTACGCTTGGACAGTTTTTATGAGGGATAACAATGCCGTTTTTTTACAGGTTTTTGACTTGTAAATGCACTCGGGAAAGCTTCTAAAAATTCTACATATACTAAAAAAAATTAGATAAAACTATTAAAACACGTTATTAGATGACAAAGATTGGCAACATACGCCGCCGTAGAGCAAGATGTATATGGGAGGCTCGCTCTTCTGTGCGACGGAGCCCTCAGTGTAGATGGCCCAGAGCGCGATGAGCGGACCGATCGCGTTGCTCACGTCGTTGCCGCCGTGGGCGAACGATCCAAACGTCGCCGTCATGATCTGTAGGAACGAGAACAGCTTGCCCACCTCGGGGGACTCGCTCTCCTGGTCCTCCTTCGGGGCTGTGTGAATAGAGTAGGTAATTGTTACACGACTGAAGACAATATACAAAGCTTTGTTCGAAGCTGAACGTGGTTTAGAGATGTTGAGAAATTAAAGGCAGAATATGGCCCTGACTACAGGAACTAGAATGACAAATTAGAAGGAAGGAATAGCTAGGCAAGCTGAGTAAATACTGTATTCGGTATAAAATTGACTTGTGAACGTACTGAAGAAAGTTAAGACCAATTGCGGCTTACAACTATACATTTGTACGGTATAGTGCATCATAAGGTTTGGCGAGTTTATCAGGGAAGGCGCCAAGAATCTGCTAAGTCGAAGTGAGTGCCGACAAAGCAGTTACCATCAGGCGGCAGAGTTCCTACTGATGACGGTCTTGATAATGGTGATGGTGATTTTAATCGTCAATTGAAAAGTTGAGAAAACCTTGACTTCATTGTCCCAAGGAAACACGAGTTATAACACACGATAAGCAATTGGAGGTTTCTTTTTAGGTAGCCAAATTGTTTGTAAGTAAAAATTCACCCATTACTACTCACGTTGATCCAACTCCGACTCTTTGCTGCCGTTAGATCCTTCGACAAGAGGAAGCTGACTAGCGTTCGAAGCCAGCACTGGAAAATAAATGAGCATCAGTTTCAAATAATGATACGAATTTATTATTTATAGCCAAAAATACATAGATGACACCAGATTTGCATTTAGCAAAGAATACGCAGAAGAACACTATAAGCGAGTCAAATATTTACATTTGCAGTGCAACGCGGAGAGAATTAGCAACAGTTCTCATTTTTACAATTAAAATAACCAGATGTTATTCCGTTAAAATATGTATTTTTGAACCTCAGCAAACTGAAAATAATGCCAAACAAGATGTAAACAAAATATTCATTCCGACGGCAAAAATTATTTTTCTGCTCTCAGAAGCGACAGAATATTGGATCCGGTCCAGCAGGTGCGCTACGCTTTGAAGGCAGTGAATTTGATTAGCTGGAGATCAGCGAATGTATATATATTTCCAGCGAATGTTCGAAAACAAGCGCCGTCAAAGACAAAACAGTACGTCAGATCTCAACTAAAGCAAGTTTTATTCAACAACTTGATCAGTGCACGCACTTTGACAATATAGACCTCTCGATAGAATGGAATAGAAGTGTCGGCACTGAAGAAATAGGCCCATGGCCTGTTGCCGATATGAAACCTAAAAGAATCTAAAGTTAATTACTCACGCGCGGCAACAGATTGGTCGTTCTTGGAGGCCATGGGCTTGTCGGACAGCAACCCAGAACCTTCTTCGGACTGTTCCGAGTGCTCTGAAGGCGTGGCCAGCGATTCCTTGCTCTTCTTCTGCGAGTCGAAGGGGAAGCTGGTGGGTGTGATGATGCCGTTCTCAACGATCGCTAGCTCCTGAGGTGGAGTTCCTGACCGAGAATTGTCTGTGTGCGTACGCAAATAAAAAATCGTGAAAATGTTATTCTGTCGTAGCCGGAGGGTAAAAATGTGAAATTCAATCATAATAATACAGTCCTCAGAATTATTAGAAGCTTTCACGAGCAGAGATTAGCTTCATGAATACTTCATCTCCAAAGAACGTGCACAAAATTTTTGATTTACGTATTGGTTCATCTCAGTGTGCGCACGTTGAAAAGTAGCAGTTAAACTTTATCATCAATAACAAGTATACTCAATTAAAAAGTATGTATTATTCACAGAGCTGACTAACTATATTCTATCAGAGATTCAAAAGAAAGGTGTAGAAGCAAAACCGTTTCTCTAGTTTTTCTAATGAACGAAAAAAAAAAAAATCGGTAGAATGATGGAAGGAGGTGAACACGCAAAGAAAAATATCAACGGTAGCGGTAAAAATTTCTCGACGCGAGTAATAAATGGAAAGTTTTGATTGTCTGCCAATAGTACTTGGATCGCATAACAACAATGATGAGTAAACGCATTTGTGCAAATTGAATTGATTCATCTTCTTTATAAGGATATATCACCGATGTTAATGCCATTTGTATCTCAAGACCTCCATGGCAACGCGGGTTGTCCTCGGTAGACCAAGAGTGAGAGGATCGATACGGACAAGTTGAATAATTGGCCATGCGCCATCTATCTCATTTTCAAAAAGATAAGAGGAACTCCTCGGTGCGGTGATTCTTCGAGAATCGTTGATTGATTTCTAACGACACTATTGTCGAAACTAGTAACCATACAAAATTAAAACAATCAAATCGCTGCAAGGTCGGCCATCTCAACTAAGCACTATCTAATCGAGAAATACGAGTGATGTTCAATGATTGATGATGAGAAGTGCTTCGGAAAACGTCATGCTTTGGTATATAGTAAGTACCAAAATTTGTCAGAAATTAAGAAACGCCGCAATTTCACACAGTTAGTCTTGACAAACGAAAGAAATTATAACGTAAAATAGATATTTTTATTGGATGTAAATGGGCAAACAATCTTCCACAGCACCGATAGAAGCTTTTTTCAGGCAACATTTTCGAGAAAAATGCCAAAGCACAAAGGGATACTTTCATCCCAGAGCCGAATAGCCTGAAAAGCTTGCAGAAATCAGCAAAAAGAGCATTGACAAATTTCAAACTAACAGTATAAATAATAATAATTGCAGTTAAGGACATCTTTGAACGAAAAAACAAGTTGGACTGGAAAGTCGAAAATTTGCAAGAATTCTCATCCAAATAGATTATATTTCAATTGAGGAAAAGTCGTGTCAATGTTCGTCAGCAAACTGGTTTACACTGAGACAATTTCATTAATAAGAGAGGCTACAACGTAATTTACCGGCTTTAAAGTAGCTTCAGAAAAAATTTCGTGCTAGAAGATAAAAGTATCGTTTCAAAGGGTCCACAAAGATTGAACGTTGAAAGTATGACTTGCATTACAGTGGTAGTCACATATCATCTTCATCGAACGCCTCGAAGTTTTGTACAAATAATTCTAACAAATAAGATACCACGAAAGTATTCAGTACTCAAAGCAGCATGAAAGATATTACAATAGCGTCATGGCAAATGTTATTGGTACAAATATCTTTTTATAAAGCGACGTTGAAAGAGATTAAATTGAAGGAGGTGCGTTTGATAACCGTTTGTTACAAGCGTACAAGTGATATAATATAAATTAGCGCTATTCGGGAACGAAAAGCATAGTTCGAAATAATCATGAGAATGTTTAACAATCACGAGATAAGTAATGAGTTTGTGCATAAGGTACATTAAACATTGACGTGTTGATTCAACAATCGCATTTTATTAAATCAATAAAGCCATCAATCAAAAATTTAAAATTTTTATGTTTTTTTGTTATATTGTTAGTAGTGAGAGGAAAAACAAGAAAGAAAAAATAGATTCACCTTTTTGCTCTAGGAGCCCCATCATTTCTATGCTTTCTGAAACCAACAGGAAAGAATACACGAGTCAACCGCCACAAGTTGTCAGTAAAAACACACAGCAATGCTCAAGATTTAGAAAACCGTTCACACTAATATGATTTTGCTTTTCCTAATCCATGTAAGACGCGCCGATGCGAAGAAATTCACATTTTGAAATTAAGGTAAAAATCATCCTTTTTGACCTGCACTCGACACCACGAAATTATTTGGATACATTTCTTCAATTCTTATTTCTAACATTTCCATTTCCTATTTGGCATCCGGAAAGTCAAAACGTATGCATTTGTAGGACGATTTCTAAATTGATCATTTCCTAACTCTGGATATCCCAATAATACAACTAAAACTTTGATATGAGAATCTTTTTGTTGTAAGTAGCCAGAACGTTGGCAAAAGGCGCTGCAATACATAGAACACATGTCAGTTTAAGCAGAAAATTAAGGCAGGAACTATGGGCTTCACGATGTTAAAAGTTATACAAATAAATGCTGAAATTAATCACGAGAAACTCAAGAAATAAAAATAAAAAAAATTATATAAAAAATAATAATAAACATGAAACGAGTGACGAATTTACGAGTAATAATTCCTACCGCTACTATATATAAGATCGGCTCATACGAAGTAAAGCTTTCGCTGTGGGGCAGAAAAAAGGAGTTCGCACAACATCGTCTGCAGTCAAATTGCTTGAATGGAATGTTTTTAGAGACAATATGAGCCCCACCAATTATTGAGCTTCTGTGCGATTCCTCCCACAAGGCTCTGAGGGACCATACTTTCAAAACTTGCTAAGTGAACGTAAGTACTTACGCTCTATTTTCTTGTCTATGATTGGTGGATTTGGCTTGAAAGGCCGTCAATGATTGACTGATGAACTTACGATCTCTTAACTTTTTTTTGAAAGTATACGCCCTGGTCACTAGATCATTTGGACTTCTTTCGCTAAGCACACTTAAGTTCTTTCTTCTTCAACGCTCGAAGTTAACTGCAGTTTTGTAACCTTTATTCTAGACAATTAAACATATCTCGAATCAGTAGCGAAGAGGTTTTATTTCCGCTTTAGTAGCTAAGAAATGTTTGCGTATAGGCATCAATTATTAATACCAAAATAGATAACTTATACATTGTATTCACGTGACCAAAATTAATCTTGCCCATCACAGTCGTTAAAATCAAATCGTCATCACTGAAATTCATCTTCTCAACTTTATACTCCGTACTGTCAGGCAAAGCTCACGTATAGAAATAAAATTTGCAATGTACAATACTTTCATGTCTTCATGGCAACCAATGGAAGTAATAAAATAAAACATACAGATCAACTTTCATTTACTCACCCGTGGAATCAAACGTGAAGGAAGGCTTTCTGTTTCGCGCATCGATTATTTCTGCACAGAAGAATTGAACGATAAATCAAAATTTGCATGAATGGGTGAATAAAAAAGTAAATTACAGGTTCGTTCTCGATTTCGTGTAAACGATGGGATAGTGAGAGGTTTTTAAGACATCTTCTATCATAGATTTATAGGATACTTTCAAACAAGTCTTCTACAGCCTAATTAGTGGATTATATTTACTCTAAAAGGTAACCAAGTGAAAAATGTGCATAATTACGTTTGATTAGAACTTACAATACTTCCAGAAATACAATTGCTGAAATTAGGACACGACGTAACGTATTGACATCGGACCAAAATCTCCGAACCAATCAACTGTCGGTTAGTTGACTACCACCATACGTTATGCACTTATGCTATAATCTCACCGCACTACGAATTTATTTTTTATCGCTTTCACAAGCGTATTATTGGCATTATATGCAAGTTACTGAATTACTCGCACCGAAAATAACTTATATAATTTGGTAGGTGTAAAGCCTACCTCTACCTTCTCAGTGCCTCATGAGTACATGAGTGCTTCTGAGTCCTTCATGAGTACATGAGTGCCTCTGAGTCCTTCATGGGTACACGAGTGCCTCTGAGTCCTTCATGAGTAAATGAGTGCCTCTGAGTGCAACGAGTACATGAGTGCCTCTGAGTGCTTCACGAGTACATAAGTGCCTCTGAGTGCTTCATGAGTGCTTCTGAGTGCTTCACGAGTTCATGAGTGCCTCTGAGTGCTTCATGAGTGCCTCTGAGTGCTTCATTACAAGAGTGCCTGTGAGTGCCTCATGACCACTGACGACACAGCGTCTACCCACCTTGAATGGAGGCGCGTTGCCGCGGTACGACCAAGAACTGCACCAACAGTCCCACGATGGCACCCACGCTCAGCGAAACTATCAGAGCGCCCCACCACGGGATGCGGTCGAAAAGCAGCACTGCAACAGCGACGGGGACCATAGTTATGGCATCGAAACTTTTGATGAATATTAATATATCATCCCTTGGCCTACCGATTCTGTCATCGCCAATCCTATTGTTATCTAAAGTTATCTTCCTAGAGTTACATTAACTTGACAAAAAGTTATGGCTAGTGATTCAGGGCCCCTAAGGTACGCGGATATGGATGGTCAAACAAAGATATTTTTCTTGAATCTAGGAAACTCTAGAACGATTTGAGTGGCATGTATCGCATAATAAAAATAATCGGCCAGTGAAAGATAATGTGAACAATCGTATTCGGACATTATCCATGAATCCATCGAATTGACATAATCTCAAAGCGCATTTCTATTAACAATGCTAAGATCGAAGTAGAAACGCTGATCTTCATTATTGAGAAGGAGGTAGCAGTTAATGCAGCGTATTGGCTACGTACTCTGAGGACCATCGTGCACGACGGAGAAGACGTTAACCAGCACCGTGAAGCCGTAGAAGAAAGGCAAGGACTTGAGGCCCGGGGTGATGGGGTCTGCTTTGTTCAGGATGAACGTGCGCACGATCAGGAAAATGATGGCGGAGATGAAGCCTGACATGATCGGCGACACGAACCACGATGCAACTGTTGGAAAACAAATCTCAGAGTAACGTCATAAAAATATTATCATTAACGAGAAAAATCAAGCGAGTTATATGAATATGCCATAGACATATTACCTTTGCGTTGTCTAGTACTAGATAACGCTTTTGTCAAGAATCTAGGGGCTTCTGAAGAACCGTCTTGTGCACAGTGGGCGCTCGCCTAAACCTAGCCACGAGTTCGCGCCAAGAATACAACGAGCTCAGTGTGTCACGAGGACAAACGCGCATGCCGACGCCATCGGGCAGAATAGCATGAATTAGAACGCGCGCGTGGAACGTTGATGCAGTACAGCCTCTCACTCTGTCCCCCATCGATAAAAATGTAGAGCTGCCACCCAGCGTACTGATTAGTCTGAGCATATAAATCTTTAGTGGAGCGAAGCGGCAAAGCTTAGAAAATATAGATATTCTTCTCATGCTAGTTATGGCTTTAAAACAACATTAATACGACAAGAAGCCCCTTTTCATAGAAACCGGTTCCAAATTTTACTTACTACGTTCATTAGTGTAATTATGTTATATTGCACTAGTAATATTTGTAGCTAGGTGCCTATATAGTGCAAGGAAAGAATTAAAACTCATTCAATTTATGAAATTAAGTACAAAATAAAAGAAACTGGCGCTTTAAAACGCACGCATTTATGCATAAATGACTACTGCCGGGCTGCAATAAAGAACATCCATGTTGAGCATTCCTGGAAATGATTTTGTTGCGTTCGATAAAACGCCTTAAATTTATGGCAATATTAGTGGTAGCAAATTTACGAATAAACTTTCATCAATTGATTTTGTCTTTTCCAGGTAAATAATTGTTAATTATCAAGAAATAAATAGAAACATCGAAGTATAACTTGACTTCAAATAGGCACATTAAAGAAAATTGAATCAACACGGAATAATTGCAATTTTACCACAGTAAACATTCGCGGACGCAAGTCAATAACCGGTATCGGAAACAATGGATTAAAAAATACCCAAAACAAAAACATATGAAGAGAAAACGGAGTACGTATTTGTATGCAGAAGCTGCGTCTAGCTATGCAAGTTGAGCACGACATCAGTGCCGGCGCAGCAGCCAATAATAAAGGAGGATGACAGGTCACGTGCTGGTCAGTAGCCAATGAGACGCAAGCAACAGCGGGTCACGTGGGTATCACAGAAAGCGAGCGTGCGACCGACAGCGCCGGTAAAATATGCATTGCATTTAGCTGCAAGTCGCGGTGCTCGGCTAGACTCTTACTTTAAGTGACTTCAACATTAATTTTCATAATAAAATTTAAATTTGCTCTTGAGGGCAGGTATGAAAGGAGATTAAACAGCACGTGCTTCCAACTGTGTCGGAAAATCATCCCGCAGTTCAGCAACAACTGAAGGAGACAAGTTATGTTTGGCCTTGGAATTCACGGAGTGTAGTCTAAACTTTCCCTGCAGAGTGCAGCAGCGATGACACAACACGTGGAGCCGCGTCACGAAGAGACTAACAGCGATGCTTCACTCCAAAAACAATTCATGTAAATGCTACATTGCGCGTGTAAGCACGAATATAGTTTGAGAAAAAATTCATATTCATTGAACATCTACATGTAAATAAACTACATAATAATCAATGTGAGAAAAGTGTCTAATGCTATTTATGGTGCGACATAATAAAAAAAAAGTTCACACTTAAATGACGAGAAATTCTCAGATTTAATATTTCCGATGAATTAAAATTGTTTACAATATTTGTTTGACATTTCGAAACTTATGCACGATAATTAAGCGGTACGTGGAACCTGCTCGTCATGCCGGTTCCACGACGAGGTGATCAGGCTATCACGTGATCACCAACATGCTTGAACGTGCACAACTCCACATGGGCGGGGCCACCACACCCACGCAGGCAGCCTATCACGTAAGCGCTTTGCTTCGCGGTATACCAATCGAATGTGACGTATGGTTGCGTTTTGGTCGTAGTTTGTAACAGCGAGTCCAAAAAATCTCCAGTCAATTAGGGTTATACTGATTTTTTTTCACGATTCACTTAGGGCTTTACTTCGAAAAAACTACGACTTACAGGCTGTTAAGAAAGCATTGTTTTTTAGGACGAAAAAGCCATCCATTATGTTGGAAGTTGTTGTGCAGTGATGACCATGTTGCACAATGTAGTAAAAAGAAAACAAAATCGAATTCATGATATCCAATAAATTGTAACAAAAGCACGCTGAGAAATAGAACGAGGTTATCAAATTTTTACAACCGCACAAGTACACGTCGAATATAAAATGATGGTTAATTTTAATCAAGAAATGCGATCGTAGTTGGGCCAAGAGATTAGATTATTGATAATAAATGAAGCAATTACTACGTCATCTTGTCGCTAGTTAACAATTTCATAGAAAATGAAAACGAAGAGTCAAGCGTGAAATATCCTCTGCTGAACCGAGTCACTCCAAGGATTAACACGTGCCAGTAAAAACCTCTGAAGCACTAATGAGGTTAGGAGAGACCGCCGTACGCGCCACACCTGCTGCAGTTCTGGCGAGGCTCGTTCCTAACCTGCAGCTTTGCTTATCTCGAACTTGTCTCCACTGCATCGTTCCTAACCTGCATCTTTGCTTATCTCGAACTTGTCTCCACTGCATCGTTCCTAACCTGCAGCTTTGCTAATCTTGATCTTGTCTCCACTGCATCGTTCCTAACCTGCAGCTTTGCTAATCTCGAGCATGTCTCCACTGCATCGTTCCTAACCTGCAGCTTTGCTAATCTCGAGCATGTCTCCACTGCATGTTACCTTAATTCCGACCATTCAAACTTAGGAACATCTTCGGTCTCACAGCGATTTTGATCAAAGATAAAACAACACTTGCTCCCATTATGATGCAACTCTTCTCGGGAGGCGTGATATGATCCGAAAAGACATTTTACTGGTCCTAACGAGAATAATCATGGATGCAGGTGCGCTAGCTGGCATCACAAAATGGGAGGATACAAAAACCTTTTTAAAGCGCACGACAATGCATCGGTCCCGGTGCTACGGAAATCAAGTCTGCATACCATAAACATTTCATGACAGTTCCCAATGAATTATATCTATGACCGAACTATTTCCAATATCTATCGAAATATTCCAAGAATAATCAAAATCGACTGTCTATTTTGTAGATTTGCAGACTTTAATTATAATCTAACAATAAACGGATACTGGCATAGTAGCATGAAGTGCAGTCGCTTAAATTAGGCTCTCGTGAAATTAAAGTGGGTCAAAGAACACATAAAGAATCTCCTAAGACAAATATTTATACACAAGCACCAACGAAGCTCATGGAAATGCTTGAATGATTGCTCTAGATTTTAAGCACTGCTGAAAAATTGGTAGCTGTCACTATAGATTTGAACGAAGATCGTTCATACTCCATTGGAACATACTTATCGCTCTCATTTTGTGATGACGTAGTCTTAATAATAAAATACTGCAGTTTCCAACGATAAAACTTTTACCGGGAAATTTTCCGATTGAAAGCTTAGGCATTGTTAGCACGTACGTATACCAAACTCAAATGATGAACCAAATCCTGTCTTGTTTGTTCGATTGAGAGTTTGAGACTGAATCATTAGCTGAATGATATTTGAGAACAGATTCAAACGTTGTATGATGAAGCTAAAGACAAAACCCCAATCCATTTTTGTTCCTGACATGGCTACAAATCAAGAAAACGGAATCGCGAGTTGAATAATGATGCTGAATAGTTGAACAACACCCAGTGCACCTGATCTGGGCAAGAGCTGGTGTCCCATTGGTATTAATACTGATGACTTGATTCATATTGTGTAATTTTACTAATTTAGTTGTATGGCCTCAAGTGGAATGCGCACACAAGATCTCGCTTATATTATTGATAGCTGGGCAAAATTATCGAGGTCAGACATGATTAAGAGATATGCAAAATAAAATGTACTAAAATAAATAAATGAAAACAAGATCGAGCGTTAATTGACCAAAATGTAGTGTTGCTAAAAGTTTATCAGCGATGCATTAGAAATAAGCTTCTTGAACGTTTTTATTCGTCGGTTGTAACGCACTTTCTCCTTATAGCCAACTTATTTCACAGTATGAAACCCTGTGCTTACCTATCGCCCCCAGAGACTAATGTCGCTATCAGGAATTAATATGCAAATAACATTGACAACGGTTATTGTTACCGTAGCCTCGCTTTGAATCGGGGTTAACTAATCGTATAAATAAATCATACATAAATATTTGTAAGCAAAATAAGAGAATATGATGTCAATACTTGAACAACCGATCGCCAGGTATGGTTTATAGGTTAATGCTAAAAACATAAGCAGATCGTGGAAAAACAGAAGAATTTGCTTCAGCCAACAGTATTGTTCTGTTTTCTCTCATTTTCTTTATTCTTGGGCCAAGCTTGGCTCGATACCTTGGTTTGCCCCCTACCCTGTACCCTCCTAGACTGCGAGCTACAGCCAAGTCTAGTCTAGTCTGTGCGCCAACAGTCAGCCAAGTCTAGTCAAGCCTGTGAGCCAACAGCCAAGTCTAGCTTGTGCTGCGCAGCTGAGAAGTCGCACTCCGTACGAAAAACATTCCTGCAGCCAAGTATGAACACAACGCTGCCTTTGAAAACTACGCACGAGATGTTCAACACATATGCGTCAACGGCAATCAACTCGACATTTTCTATGCTCACTGTCGGTCTCCAAGGACACACAATACAAGCGCTCGTCCATTGATGGCTGCATGATAGCAAATTACAGTAAGCTCGGATCAAACTACACGGCTGAGTAGTAATGTACACGATATTATTATTCAAATGTCAATAAAAAAAATCTAACTGAAGAATCTTAAGAGGTTACCAAGGAACAAAGCTGTTAAATATGGGAAAATTGGCTGGACGATGAAATTTTAAATTTTTACGCGTCCCATTATCTTCATTTTCTAAGCATTTAACTCGCATGGAATTTAAGATCATGGTAATAATAGAACGATATTCTCTTAAAAAGTTCAAGGTTTAAAAGAAGTGAGTCGAACTTTTCTCAAATGGAAGGAAAATGTTCAGTGTTCAAAAATATATAAATGGTTTACTTTGTCATGTACGTATATTGTAGAAGAGTCAATTTAATTTACGAAAAACTTTTTGATGATCACGACATTCATTGTTGGTTAACAACTAAATAAAATATTTTAGCCGATATTCTGAATCTTAAGAGCACCGATGAGAATTTCACAACAGAGGGAGGATATTGATGCTTTCTATTCCTATACCAGGAAAACACTATATAAATTAGCCTAGGGTAATTGCAGGAAAAAGTAAGATATTATTTTTTAACTCTCACGATTTCATCGCAATTCAATAACAGATTGAACTTTGCGCAATACCTCTGCAGCATCGAGGCGACAGCTCTGGAATTCTTATCCGTGGCGTTTGTTGTAGCCACCTGTCTGTCCACTGGCACAATAATAAACAAATGGAAGCAAACCTAGCTGACATTCTAATGCAACAGTAAATGGCTGCATGATCGGCTAATGAGCAAGACACATTGGTCCGGATTACAATCTGCGCTGCTGAAGGGAGCGATCCAGAATAATCAAACGACAGAAAGAGTACCGGTATTATCTGGTTTTCTGCAGTCGAGAAAGGAAGTAAATTGTTATCCATGGGATGTAAAATCTTATTGTGAGTGAGCCACAATAATCAATACAGGAATTATCTGGTTCACGGGAGGGTAGTTATTAAAGAGCAGTTTTTTTTGCGAGCGAGGCAGGATTATGAACACGAGGAGTATATTTATCAAGAGCGATAGAGGTACTCATTGGGATGTAAGACGAGTAGGAACAATCCAGCGAGGGATTTTTTTTAATTCGAATAATTGAAATGGTAAATTTATTTTCAGAAATTAGATTTGAAGATGCATTAACCACGAGTAGCGCCATTCAACGGATTCAAAACCAATAAACAATTTTTACAAGGCGAAGAGATTAAAAAAAATCGCTGACACACAGATTCGGAATTCTCATTTTTTTATACACAGCGTGTATAATTTTTGTAAGAACTTATTATTATTCAAGCAAGTATAATAAAAAAATAATCGTGTTTCATATCCAACAACATGAAATCAGTGGGGACAAAGAATAATTCAAACAAGCTTGGCATCTAATTTTAACGTACGAGTTTTAAAATTCGTCCCATTTTTCATCTTTCAAATCAAAATTGTTCAATTTGTGTCATAGAAGTCGATTATTTTCAACAACCTTCCAAACCCAATGTCTCGCATATTACACAGATCTTGAATGTAATCAAAGTATTAGGTAAATACTCACCAATCTTGCCGAATGTAGCCCAGTTGACGCCATTGAGGCCCCTGGCACAGAGCGAGAAGCCCACGGTAGCGCCGACGATGGTGTGAGTGCCGGAGATCGGCAGTGAGAAGAACGTCGCTACCAAGTTCCATATGGACGAGCCGCCTGCACATATAGGGCGAGAAACGAACATCAGGAGCCGGAAATAGCAAAGATGTCATCAATTTGAAAAAAATATTACTCAGTACTCACAGCAGTGAGTGACAGAGAGCGCATTTTCTCGTTGATGAAAACTTGAGGTCACGGACGGACGGACATGACGAGCACATCAGTGCATTTTTTCCATAAATGAGAAAACGGACGGACATGACGAGCACATCAGTGCATTTTTTCCATAAATGAGAAAATGCGCTAAAAAGACACCAAAATATTCAGGTAAGAGATATGATCGATGTGAAGTTTTGAGATGGAAGGAAATTATTTAATGATTCAGAAGCCGAAAAAGTTAACATCGTCATTTACGACACAATGTAATCTTTGAATAGTGTATTATATTGATACTGTAGTACTACTAAGAGTGTAGTGACGAGGAAAGGGATTTAACTCAAATAAGACTACAAATTAAAATGAGAAATAGGTGTTGAACCAGCATTCGCGGCACGAAATGTTAAATATGTCGCAGACTTTCATAACTAAGATTAATTGCTAGCCTTCAATTCTAAGAATCTATATATAAAAAGAAAACACTTGAAATTCGCTTGAAAATTTATTGAAAATCTAATACCTTCGAACAAGTACTATAGTAATACTACCAATAATGCCTTTATTACTTGGCATAGGTAATGAGTAACGCGTCAAGAGTTATGACTGACTGGGCAATATTCAACCCGAGCCCCGGGGTTGTTTATATTCCGCTGGCCAAATCAAGCGAGGGTTTTGAGTGGATGAATTGACATGAGCATATAACGTTAAAAGAACGACTGCAACGAGCATCAAGCTTTCCATGGTAGCACTTTTTATATAAAATGTCGAAGGAGTTCAGTACAATAAAATTGCAAACCTTCGAATTGATTTAGGGCCTCAGAACATTCAGACACGTTATCTGGAGGCTCATTATCTCTCTGACACCATAATATATCAGTACATCAATACAGAAAAATTTATCGATACACTGGTATCTAGCATCAATCCTTGTCGTTTAAAAATTCTGATTGTTATTCATTTCTACATATTATGAAGTACAAGTTTGATGCCTATTTTAAAATTGATATTTCTTTATTTTTCGCAGGACTACGCCTATAACGTCTGTTTGGTAATGAACTTGTAGCCGTACCCAGTTTTCAAGGCTTTAACCTTGGATTGGAGTGTTTTTGTCCACTCGGAGTGTTCAAAACGAACCAGGCAATATTGCGTCGAAGCGTTGAATTGGGCAAAATATTAAAAACTCGGAGGGAAACCCCTGGCTAATTCAGCCCATTAAAAAATTTTCGGCTCATTTATAGAATAGAGTGTAATAAATAGCAAGCAATGAAAAAAAGACAAATTAACTGTATTTCATGATTCATTGAATTTCAAAGCAAAGATTTCAATTGCGCAGTTTCAAAGCGTTTACGAAGTTGACCTTCCTCGACTTTGCTGGACAAACAGCAGCGAATGACTTTCAGCCCTGCACCAAGTTTTATAGTCAACACCTGTGAATATGACTGCCCGGTCTATAACGCCTCAGAGGACCAATCCATGCAGAGCCCGCTTGCTGCGCGCCCTCGTCGTCAAGATTTTAAGATGAATGAAAAGCAACCAACTTCAGGCATCGGGTACAGACCATGCTAAACCTCGATGCTTTTAGTGTTGCTGGAATTTGTACTAAACGAGTGTACAACATAAATTAATTTCAGACGTTATCTCATGTACCGCCTCAAGAGTACAACGCATCTTACTGCTCACGAACCGCGCTTTTCCACTTGAAATCCGCAACGCAGCAAACTTCGTCTGCGTGTTCGTTAGATGTCCACAGAACGGAAATGTTGATTGTAGCAATCTTTGTTTGCTTCAGCAATTCGGAACAGAAATTTTGAAAACGTTTTGGTCTATACAAGACCAAAACTAAATGTATCAAAGACAGAGCATTAAATTCTTATGACGGGAAATGAACTGAACTGGAAACGGCTTGGGTTCGTAAGTATAGCCAGCGCTGGGCGGGCACGTGGAGCAATTGGGATGCAGGTTGAGTACTCCGGGGTTCCCCGCCAAGGTTGTTCACCAGCTTTGCTCCATATTCGGCCACCCTACTGCAGGTCTGCGCGGCCTGATCAGGCAAGCTAGACAGCCAGCGGCATCTTCATAAGATATGGTAAAGAGTTTAGACTAAATTAAAGTGTTTAGACTAAGTTTTAACCGGCAGATCGTGTTAGCGCCGTGCTCACTGAGGGGCCCCATGACATCGATTGCCAACTGTTAAATTACTTTTTAATCCTGTCGGTGATACCTAGATATCTATAAAAGGCTCTACACGTTTTCGTTATAAAAAAAAGAATTTAAGTCACCATCGTTCACCATTACCTTCCAAGTATAACTTTCGAGCATGCGTCATAAAAATGACGCATAAGAATTTATTTGTTCGATTCATTGTCAAGGACTTAGTTGTTAAATGAGCAAATAGACCCACTTCATACAGAGGATATAGAGAAGTCGCGTGTTATTCAGGCTATACAATTCGTGTATCACAGCACCTATGCCAACAAGATCGTGACTAAGCTATAAGGGCGTTTATTGCTTGTGAAACGAAAAGTTAGTAATATAAAAAAAAAACATACAGGTATATGATAACAATACCTTGCGGCCATCACTGTATAAAAATAAGATGCATGGCTTAATGCGAGAGGTAGTGCAAGCTATTGGAAGCTGTGCAGCTATTGGAAGCTGGAGTAAACGAAAGCTCGAGCAAAATTTACCAGTAGGCAGTGATCTGACTAGACAATATTGGCATTTACGGCCCTAGCATTAAATAATAGTTTCATAGACAATATTATTAACATAATAATACTAGCATAAAAAATATTAATAACATAATAATACTAACATAAACAATTTCATAATAATATTTTCGGCAGGTTGATTAATTGAACTTCTATAAGCAGGTTGAACTACTATAATCGAAGATCAATGCGATATAACGTTACCGATTTTAGAGGATGAGTCATGAAATGTAACGCAATAATACTTCTTCAGTTGAATGGTAGCACGTGTGAACGCCCATTTTTTATTTATATATTAGAGAACAGATCAAAGCAGAAATTAAGGTTTGCACAAGACATTCTTTAAAAGTCTTAATCGAAATAAATTTATTACAACTTGAGTACCGTACTTCAAATGAAGTAGAATAAAATAATTTTTTCATAAACCGTGATTCAACGCTGACCAGAGAACTTATATTCCGCTCAAGCGTGAAGCTGAAGTTTAGGGATAATCGAATTCGAAAAAAATAATAATCGATTATATATTTTTTCTTTTGAGTTGAATGAAAATTTGTTTGCGCAAACCGAAAATATTCCCGTCATAGGCAAAATACCCTCAGCAATTAAGAAGCGCAGTTAATCTTCAGCAAACATTAATTTTTTCAGATATTTCCGTACTAACTTCGGACATGGACAAGTCTGAAAAAATGGAAGTAAATGGGAAAAACGTGGTAAGTGATTACGTAAACCAGTAGATTAGATGACTAAAAATGCTGCCATAACATAATGAAATGTGAACGTAAGACAATTTCCACAATTTTTAGAAGTTAAGGGGACCTGCTACCCTAAATTGGAGGTGTCCTATAACTCCTAGTTATTATCCGATCATCATGAAACTTCACATACATACGTAAAATGTAAAAATAATAACATTTTACTTCTATGAATTTTTCTAAAAAATTGATAGAAAACGTGATATTCATAGAAAACGGACAAATAACGGGTACTATAGAAAATCTATCTCCCCCCACAAATATCGTCCGACAATATCGAGACACATATCATTAGATTCGTAAAGACCATACCTATCAACTCTACCATCACTTTTTTCATTTTCCCCATAGCTTTTTTTTATGCGCGCTTTTCTCATTTTTTCACTTTTTTTACCCCCTCCCCCCTTCTCCTCCATATATAAGACGAACCATGCACAAATTCAAAAAAGCGATGGCTAGGTCGATAGATATGGTCTTTACGAATCGAATGATATAACTCTCATTGCTGTAGCTTTAAAACTGTAGGAGGAGATAGGTTTTCCGTGACAATAAGTTGAACTTTTCAAACTTTTCAGGACGGCTCGACAAAGTCCCGTGCGCCTCGAAATAGGCACTCAATGTAGCATGGATACCAAACTACAGGCTTCTGTAGCTTAATCCACTCAAGGATGCTAGCAGCAACTTGTAGCGCACCTCTACGTACAATGTTAGGAGGGTAACTGAGCTCAGATGCCAGATACACCAAGATATGTAGTCTTGCCGCTGTAATTTTCTTAGGTCTATTTAGTTAAGGAACTCCACCCCCAGCCCCCCATTAAAGCCCGGCCATCTGCGTCAATATTGCCGTACATGGATCGCAGTAGTATCGTTGGAAAGCTCAGAATGTCAGCTTTAAGATGAGACTAAGCATGTGACTGCCGCACAACTCAAGTAGAAACTATATTCAAAGATTTCAGCATCTAATTACTTTATATCTAATTACTTAAAGAACTCTCCCACCCGCTTCCCTTTAAAGAGACGTCATGAACGTAAATATTGGCGAACAGCAATGGCAGTGGTACCATTGGAAAGAGCAGAATTCCAGCTTTCAGATGAGCACAAAAACCGAAAAACGCCACAATTGAAAATTTTAGGGTAGCAGGTCCCCTTAAGAATGAAACATTGACAGACACATTAGGATTAGATGGTCATGACTCACCAAGCGCAGCAAGAGACCCGAGCATGAGCTCCTTCTCTGTGTTGTTGTAGAGCTCCACGTCCAGTATGCCTTTCCTGACCGTGTCTGAGACTTTGTATCCTGTATACACGCAAAGAAATGAGTCAGTGTTGTGGCAAATGAAGAACAGTTTGTTCCTAGAACAAATTCTAATCTATACAAGACAATTGATAGCACACCTGAGGCTAAATAAAACAAGCAAGATTACCGGCAGTGAATCGCAGTTGCTGTGTGAAACCAGATACAAATGTATAAAGTGAGCTGAATTAGAGAATAGTTTACTATGAGCAAGAATAGCTGAAATTTATTCGGCTAGTTATGCAACCTGTCTAACGCTTATAAGATTCTGAAGGTCAATTGTTCAAAATTCAATGTTCATGTGAGTTTGACAATTAGGAGGCCAGCGTTCTGGGAGTTTACCAACCCTTCGAATATAAACTATGGAGTAGACAGCGCGTGCTGAAGAGCAGAGTTAAAATAAAGAATTACTTTATTTGTTGAACTGAAATCACTTATGAGCAACTCTCAGTGGGAGGAAATCTATTCTTTTGATCTGTCTTGAGCTCCAAGACTGAGAACCTAGGTTTTATTATCCGTTAGGGAAGTTTTGCCGAAGTACCAAAAGATTACTTGCTAACTTGAGTTCAAACAAGCTAATCAGAATTAACTGGAACCAACAGCCACCAGAAAGAGTCCGGGAAATGATCATGCAAAATGAGGCTTATTCATCCAGACATTTTTTGGGCTGCAAGTGAAAGTAGGATAACTATGGATCGTAATGGCTGATGATTAAAGAATGATTATGCGCGTTCTGTGACAGTTTTGTTCGAAGAGAAGTCCAAAAAAATTTAATCATTTTTAACGTAGTTCATGAACAGCATAAATGTGAGATAGAGTTACGGGAGTATTTAATTGGTAGGAATTAGTTTACATTTTTAACAAGGCATAATACATTCTGAATTTCGTCTCAATGTTTTATGGAAGAAACATTTTTATACTAATAGTGATTTTTTTAAAGATGTCGAAATAAAAATTTCAGAGTGTTTACCCAAATTTAAAGAATGTATTCCTGAAATTCAATTATTATTCCACTGAAATTTAAGTGATTTAAAAAATTATTGATGCATCTTGAAAGAATATTTTTTCCTAAATATTAACTTGGAAATGAAAGCGAGATTTAATTAAACAACTCTTAAAAAATATAGAATAATTACTAACAGGAAAGATTAAAATGTGGGGTGAGCTATTATGTATCCAGCATGTAGTTCTAAAAATAACTTACAACTCAACACAGCTTACCAGTAGATCTCCCGAAGGAGATACTAAAGGTTCAAGCACTTCCAATGTTGAATATGTCAGAAAACGTGGCTTGAAAACCTCACCGAGTTCTCGAAGACATCCACACCCGTGAGCAGATCTACTGTGCGTACCAAATGATACACTGTGATCGAACTAAAACGATACTACTAGGGCAAAAAACCAGACTCACCTATGAGGATAGCTCCTAAGGTCTCGAAAATAGTGCCCAAAATGCAAGCTGTTCTTAGCGTCAACACTCGAGCGCCGACAGAAGTGCCGAACGAGTTGGCAACATCGTTTGCCCCAACACCGAATGCCAGAAGGAAAGCAAGAGCGAAACCAGCGATGATGAAAGGTAAAAGTTCAGAAGAAAATGGATCCATTGTTGAACTTTACGTCCAAGCGAAAGTACAGTCGAAAAAAATGATGGTAACAGAAATGGTGATGTAAGCTGGTACGTTTAAGTTTGCTCGATGTACTTTTTGAGTTTTTGTCTAGAGGTGAAGTTAAGGCCGAGTTAATTATTTGAAAGAATAGGTGCTCTAAAAACGGATTGACAATAAATAAATAACCTTAGATCAATTGGAATGACGATAAACAAACTGTTAAGTTACCGCTTGTTAAGTTGCAGCTTATTTTATTTTTAGCGTAAGAATAAATATTGAACGCGGCTTAAATATAATTGAATATTGCAGTACAATACAAAAGACATTTGTAGCTTCTGTGACATAAGCAGTGGGACTCACTGGGAAGTAAATTCGATATATTTTCTGAACACAAACGATTACTGTTTACATCCGAAGCACAAGTCAAGTAAACCGACCAGCGGAAATAAAGAGAATCAATAAAGCGCCTACTGTGCAACAATTTTATTGATCTAGCAAATAAAACATAAAAGGTTCAAGTCGACCGATAGCGGTGTCCGAACACAGTTAATGAATGCATTCATGGTAGGCTGGAAGATGTGAATCGACTTTATTCATGAGAGGAACCAATCTTGGCGAAGAAAAGGAAAACTAAGAATGCTAAAAATAAGAAGATGCTATTGTCACAGGCGACTTCTGCGATTGTCGATTGCGACAGACACGCCGATATTCTGTAAGGGAGAGAACCAACCAGGATTAAAATAGGAATTAACTTCATAGAATTATTGTGGAGTAATAAGGTATGCTCGGTCAAACTATTTTACTGGTGACATGAAGCTGCTCGCGCACCTCCCAATATATTTCAACACGTTTCCAGCGACATGTGACTCGTGATGACAACAAAGTGATTGTCAGCGCCTCTGAAAATGTGATGAGTTGATTGCATGAAGAACAATTAAGGTGATACAGCAACACATGCAAGTAGCACACCGCGTTGGGTGAGCCTTGCAGGCAAATCGATGATTAAATTTTTATTTTCTCATTATAAATTTAATAAGAACAAAACGAGACGAGAATGACTAGCCAAAATTTTTACCACCACAGAATCAACTGATTTTTTATACTCCTATCACAACGGCATACTCGTATTTTCAACTAAAAGGTTTGATAAATTCCCAACTTCCCAAGTTTTTTAATTTAGTCAGTAATGAGTATTAGTGGGTAGTAGTCAATAAGTAGTTAAATAAAGCTAAAATTTTCACTTAAAACGTTTTCACTTCTCAATGGCTTAGTCATCATTGATCTATTCAACGACCAAATTATGTAATTTGGTTAGATATGCGAGTAATTTGTTTGCATTGCCCATGCTTTGAAAGAAGGCTAGAGCGTAGTTCTGTTTTATTCGTCCAACAGCCACGTGTGTAATTTAATGGCCTATACTTCGCTGCAAGGTGCGCTGTCCTCTACAACCTTCTCGAATATCACGTGCCGAATTTAAATCCTCCGTGCTTCGAAATCACAGTATTTCGGTGACCTACATCAATCTATTAGTTACGTGCGCAGGTCTACTGTAAACACTCGGATCAGTAAGGCTCAATACCCTCTGCCATTAATTCTCTCAGGAAGAAAGTTCAACAGCAGGTCAGCTTGAAGCGAGACCAGATCGTTGCCCTATATCGATTGATTAACAGTTGACATAAATTGGCCATGCATCGCAGCAGGTACTGTAGCCCCGTTCGGTTCAGAAACAATAAGGTAAATATCGTGCGGGCGACAAATAGATCGTAAACAAACACCGCGATGCGACACAAATAAGTTTTTAGAATATCGCAACTATTGCCGTCCTCGATGCTGAGGTAATAAGTTAAGTAATTGTTTGGAGGGTACACGCAGCCGCCGGAATGCTCTTCTCGCTGCTGTTGCTGTGCCAGCGGACTGCTCTGGTTTACTTGCACAAAATCTACCGTAGAACAGACAAATGGGAAAATGTGCCCATTGTGGCACATTTTGGAAATGGGAACAGACAAATGGGAAAATGTGCCCAATTTTCGGCTGCACCACGTAAAGCTCACTTGCGGTCATTAGTGAGGGCATTGCACAGGTACCTTAGATTAGGTTCAGCATCCCGTGCTTCTGCGGACAAACGACTCATGATGTCTAAAATTCACCGCACACAAAAAAACTCCGTTTAATTCGCGCTGAAACTTTTTCGTTGCTAGTTTTAAAGCGCATCATGTGAGTAGAAATGTTGAATTAGTGATTAAGCAGCCTATGGTGATAGTGTTATTGCAAAAAATTTCCACTACAACGTAGACCTCACCACGCTCACGCAGGAAAATAAAGAAAACGCATTTATATTAAGAAACAACGGCGAATTGTAAAGATTCATTGCCTATCTAATTCATAGATGACGGTATGGAAATAACTAGGGAAATTATCTTATAATAATTTGTATGTATCTGAAGGCGACCAGATTCAACTAGGCTAGAGCACCGAAAGTGGCTGTCAATGATGAACTACCGCCTCACTAACTTGATTTCAGAAACTCACCGTTCAGGTACCGTTCAAGGCACGCTGCCCCCATCACTGTGGGTATAAATCTTAAATAGCCAACTTACCATTCCAATAGTTGAAACATGCCTCGCCGTTACCGCAGCCACATCAATTTCCGTGCAGGTAAAAATTATGTTAGCCTGACCTGAAAAAGGTAGCGGTAACACCTCCCTTATGTGGCAGCACTATCAATTCAAGTGATAGCGGCGAATTATTCCCGGTTCTTAACTTAAGGACTCCTAATGAACGGACACCTCACCGAGAAGAACAGCTCCGGCAATTTCGGCGAAGGTGGCAATGATGCACGCCTGACGCAACGTTACGACTTTAGCGCCAACGCTGGTACCGAACACGTTGGCCACATCGTTGGCGCCAACGCCAAATGCCAGAGTAAATGCCAGGAAAAACCCTACGATGATGATCCAGAGTGTCTGCGAGTGCCATATGGAAAGCGAATGTTCCGTCGTGGTCGTGAATGGAGAAAACGTTGAGGTAGGTACCATTTCGGTGATGTCAAACGCAGGCACCACAGTAAATGACACGCCTAGCACCAGCATAAGAATACCGAGCTTTGCACCACCCATGGTGTCCTATGTGCTCTACACTTATTATTTAAGGTGCTAAAAGCAGAGCAGGTTTTTGGTAATTGAAGTCAGTACAATACGAAAATTTCACAGTATTTCTAAATAAAGTTCTCCGTGCAAATCTCGGGCACAATGTAACAAAAAGTCAGGAATGACACCATAAAATATTTTTCAAATTCTACTCGACACTTCTATTCGTTAACTGCATTGATGATACGGGTGAAGCTAAACAGAACTGTTTGTGATTGATTAATTTGAAGTTCAACTGCAGTCTACAGATCACTTAATTACAGAGAATGCATGCATACGTGCCAAGATCACAAGCAATATCTGGAAAGAAAGCAAGACCATCATTGAACTTTGCGGAAATATATAGGAGCTAGAATCGACCTTAACCACTAAGGTGATAATGTTAATGGCTCACTTAACTTGACTTTTATTTAAATATAATGAGTATGTTGAAATAAGGAAACGTGTGCGGAATTCGACACTTCCTGCCGGATATCGCCATAGCGCCACTTGTAACAGAGCAAGGCGGATATAACTGTAGTTGGATCACCGCACTAACACACGCTTAAAAGCACTTCCGTGGTCAGCCTCTATAACGCACCCAACGACTGCAAAAAGAAACTAGCGCATTTCAATCATGGGTAATATTTACTCATGTAGTCATGTTTCGCAGTATATACACTAGTCTCATACGTATATGCGGTATGAAATGTATTTGGAAAATTCAACAATTACCTAATTTATCACTGAAAGCTCAGTGAATTAATAACTTCACATAAAAAAATAGATTTGAAAATTATTAAACTTGAGTTTCTTCGTAATAATTCATTCTAAAAGAATTTTGTGACTTGAACTGAGGAGCTTGTGTGAGCAAAATACGAGGCAAAGAAGCCTGATCCACATAAATAACTTCAAACAGAGTACAGTTCCCGTAATTCTAACGCCTTTAAACTTTACATGTTGTCTCCAACCGTGAATGTAACAGTCATCTGAGTTTAGCTTACTAGATTTAACTTGGCAATCTCTGGGCATCTCGGCAGATTGTTATCAAATTGCTCCATAAAACGATAAGGTATAATATAAAAGCTTTCTACTGCCAGGAGTTAAGCGATCGGGATGTAGGAAAGATATTATGATTCAGTAATCGTTTCTTTCCTGCAAATATGAATAACCATTACCAGTTGCATGTAAATAAAATTTGATGTGACCACTATATCGGTCATCGCTATTATCTCGATATTTGTTTCATTAATATGATATATTTGTTGATTTTTTATTAAATTCACCATTTGTAATATTTGTTTTCATGGTGCCAATTTTATCATAGCATTAATACATCGGGTGAAAAGTCTCAAGTTCATTGGAGAGAAATACTTTTACGAGACTTTCTGATGTGTTAATGCGTCTTAGCAACAAGTTACGAACACAGCCCATAGCGCACACTGCCCAGAAGAGCACAGATCACCATCACAGACAACTTGATAGTCGCGGTCTCTTACCCCAACTGTGGTCTTTATAGCTTAGCTGCGAGAGCCCCCCCTCCACAGTTGGTCGCGAACGCTAGCTCCAATCATTGGTCCAAGCTACAGTAGACCCTGTTAGTTCGTACGCGCAAAAAAAATAATCTAAAATACTGCGACATCGATAGACGCTGTTAGCTTAAAATCTTAAAATTACGAGACAATAACATCGGTGCCCCAGTTGCGGACGATCTGCAGCAGAAGTTGAGGTAACAGCAGCAGGATAAGAGAGGTTGGTGGAAGTATTGATGCATTATTACGTATTGAAAATTAAGGCAAATAATTATTTCTATGAGATTTGTACACGTACAGAAAATCTGCATGTGAAATGTGAAGTCGTACTTTTTTTGCACGGAAGTCGTAAATTTTTGCACATGCATGGGTACAGGCGACGAGCAACGGTATTGGAGATGCGTGTGCAGGCGGAAGTACTGAGCATGCGCATTGAAGATGCGCATATTGCTGGGAGGGATGCAGGAGCGCGTTGCAGATGGGAGTGATGCGAGAGAGTGTAGAAGACGCGCAGGTTGATAAAAGTGATGGGAGAGTGTTATATACTTATAGATCCGCATATTAGGAGAAAAAGTGTTATAGATACGCCGGAAAAAATCGTAAGCATTGCGAATGTCATAAGCACATAATAAATGTGTGACGGTTTTAATTAATTTTTATCGTGACTTCTATTCAAGGGTAAATTCCATTGCATTGATTGCAACAGATATTGCATACACAAATACATGTTTTGCGGTAACCAGTCAGTGGATACGTTTATGCTTCAAGTCATTATTCACTTTTATATTTAATTTGAATTATGATAATTACTCGCCGCTTATCAAGGATTAAAACGAGGAAACTCGTTAAGAATTCGTGGAAGCTCGTAAAATATAAAGCTAAAGTTAATAAAAAGAGGCGTGTCGCGCAGTTATCGTCCATCAACTAGAAAGGTCAGAAGTCAAATGACACAAGAACTCCACATTGCTTGCTGAACATTTCCCCGGAAACGCATTTGAACGGTTTATTTCGCACTTTTTCAATTAAATGTTAATTGTAAAAACCTTCGAAATTAGATTAAGACGCAGGAAAATGTATTCATGCTCAAGCCGAGTACAGTGGTTAACATATTTCAAAACGGGCATCGTTGCTGACACCATGTGAAGTCAGTACAGAATACTCGGCAACAGGCGTCGTAAATGGGGCCGGTATGACGGAAAGATTTATGAAAGAGCCGCGAGAGATGACAGGTGTTAGAAGAAACAGCAGCGCAAGTTCACCGATAACGTAAGATAAAACAGAAGCAGCGGTTTGACGTCACACGCACGCGTTGCCCTTTCGCCTAATGGGAGAGGGCCATAAAAGGTGAATGCGGCGCTACTTCCGCTCTATAGATAGATGATGCGTTCGGTGATTGTTTAAATTTTGTTCAATAAACTAGTTAAAACTAGTGCAGGCATAGAAGTGATCGTTGAATTTTGTTATCGTAGTCAATTAAGACAAAAAAAGTATCGAAAATGAAATCATTGACGTCGTCAGTGCAGTTCATAAAATAGAACATTATATATGCTGACGGTTGTAAGATATTCTATCCGTTGAAGAGCACCACGCCATCTACTCCTACTGCTTAGATTAGGCGCAAGCTCACTGCCTTCACAACGAAGTGGCAGGCAAGAATTTATCTCTAAATTTCCCGCCAAAAAACGGCTAGCTCAGTAAGCGCACTAGTGTACAAGCGATGCCAAAAGCACAGGATTTGAATAGCTGTGGACCGAGCATACAGTTTCTGATGGTAGATTACATCAGGAACCATGATGCTTCAGTTAATTATATATGTGTAGCCTTAATTTAGCCGATTGCACTAAGCGGCGAATGTAGTGCCATGTTCTATTTTACAAGACCTCGAACTGTGCTTTGTGTCGAGTCTACAACGAAAAACATGTAGGGTTATCTCTCATCTAAATAGTCTTCATAATTTTAGAACTATGCCGAAGCTAATTTATTTTCTTTCAGATTCTTATAAAATGAAAGCAATTAGTAACGATTTTAATAAATTCGCGAAAATACCGGTATGTCCGCTGGCTCCATGAAAAATTCTTGTTTTGAAATAAAATCAGAGTTATAAATTTCAAATAGAACCTAATGAACTGATCCGTTTTAAGAACGGATGCATGTAAAGCGATCATGCAGAAGCTCATCAAAAGGCTTCGTTTCTCTAACAAAGGTGTCATCAGCGTGCATGAGCCCAAAGTAATAGAAAAAGTGTGAAGTCTGACGCACTTCCCCGGAAGTTCACAGTAGTGATCGAGTGCTCCTGAATGTAAACTCCTAGACGCCTTGCAGCACATCCCTACAAAACGCGCATAGGAAATACGGGCAGCGCCTGTAGCACGGCCTTATGACTTGAGATTCCCAGCTCTAGGTACAATATAACTAAACGATCATAGCTGCAAACGGGTCGTTGAAGGTCAAGAGAAATCCAGATGGAGTAACGGGTTAATGGAAACGGCTCAGAAGCAAATGTATATCTACAGATATATTTGTGATGTTTCCTAGTTAGATTGCCTGCCGAGGAATAATGTTGACGGCAACGAAAGTAATAACTGCGTTCTATTTTCAATGTTTTTTTCATATTAAATTTTTTAAAATATATTTCACTAGGCAATTCAGCGAAAACCCTTTTTCGTGAAAAGACTTTAAAACTCTAAATGACTGTTTAAGGTTTAAGGGAATAATCAAAGGTAAAAAATACTTTTATGTATCTCAGACAAGTATTTCAAGCTTCAAGGTTCGATTATTACTGCCTTAAAAAATTAGAGAAAATTAAGCGTTAAGAACTGGCTCCTTTATCCAAGGTCGTCCAATCAAGTAAAAAAATTACAGTGGGAACAATGTTGCTAGAAGAAAAAATGAACGGAAGTGCCATTAACATTTCCTCATAATGAGTGTAATGAAAACACAAGTCTGAATTACTTGAAGTGCTCGGACTTCATTGTCGCTATTGAGTACGGAACATAAGGAAATAAAGCCGAGTAATCACGATTGGATCAGATAAGGAAGATCGTTGATTTTGTGGTGGTAAAATTATGAAGGAGTACAGATGGACGAGATGAAAATAACATGAATTGATAATACAAACTAAGTTCCAACTGAATTTTGTCACGAAAAAATCATGTGTCGACAACAACAAAAAATGTAAATTTCAGCTCTAATTATAATATAGCACATTAAAATTTTCCCGTGGGTTATTAACCGTGACACTTCACTTTACTCACGTGTTTAGCAGCAAGAACTGAGGAACCCATTGCGGTTGCTCGATGTTTTTTTTTTATGGCTGAACTTCTGTGGAGTTATTCCAGCTGAAGAAAAAAAAAAATTTGCCGGTTAATTGATAATTTTCTCTTCAATCCATGAACAATTGCCACAGAAAATAATGGGTCTGAAAAATATTTCATAAATGACTAGAATAACGATATATATAAATACATTGAAGTACGGCTAGTGCATGAAATACTCTTAGGTAAAACAATGCGTTATCCTGGCTCCTATAGGTTCCCCCGAGTCATGATCGGAAAACTCTCACTTTTCAGGATGAATTTTTTTATTCGATGCGCAATTTAGAAGAAATCCTCATTCGCCTGAATGTCATTGCATGTTCTTGATGTCAACGCGCTAGCCTAGCTAATAGCTAGACGACAGCTCCGTCTCCTTTATACATTTGGTCTACTGAGATAAGGCTGATCGATAAGAGAAATACATACTTTCATTAATCAATGAAAGAGACTGGGAGATGAGTGCTTTAGACTCAGAGAACTTTTCTTACCGGTAATAACGACTCAGGTTTCTGAATATTGTATTTAATGTCATCTATAGCTATAAAAATAATATAGGAAGCTCTCTCTGTCAGCACAAATTGATACGCCAGAAGCCACTATATAAAGAACATACAAATGACTGTTTGATGGATTCAATGTATCAGTATACTAAAAATCCTTAGTAGTATAGTAAAATCATTATACTAAACGGCGGCCTAAGCACATCACCTATAAAATTACAAGTGAAAATAATGGAAGAATACAAGTGTCGGAATATTAAAGTCAATGTCAACATGGCTGGTCAGTAGATTCAACTAGATTGAAGAAACTTGCCGTGTCAAAAAGCACTGCGCCATGTGTGACGTGTTTGTCGATAGAAAATGTTCTTGATTGTTTTTCCTCTTCCGGTCGTTCATCGGAAAAATTGCAATTCAATCAAACATAACGTCTTAAATTAGATATTTACGCAAATATTGGCCGTTTAGTGGCGGTGATAACTTGGAATAAGGAATAAAATCGTATGAGGAATAAATCGTCATTGTTAGCGTTAATTAAACATCGCTCCATTCAGCATAACATAGCTGAAATTAAAACTCTCCATTCATTTGTTTTAGTGCAAAAAAATAAATATCTCTTGCAGAACAATCCGCTGAGTACGTTGGTCTCAAAATCCTCTGGTTGAAACGTTAATAGTAAATAGCCATAATAGTTAGTTTTATCGTGATAATCACATTAACTATGATAGTTGATAAATAATTTTATAATTTAATTCAGTTAATAAAGTTCATCGTTAGTTAAGTAGACACATCATGTGTAAGAAGTGCGTGCGGGGACAGTTCGTTCAATTAGTCTCAAGATGAGCTGATGTCGCAAGGCGGTATCTTCCGGCGAGTCAGGCACGTGCGGCTGATAACCTAGTTAGGACGTGCCTGATAAATTAACGCACAACGCACGCTTAACTCCGACTTTCATGGCGAGAATTGATAGTGAAAAGTAATAGCTCGAAAAAGGTTTTGAGACCGTTTGTATAACTTGGTGTATATATACATGTTCACTAGACAATCTGGGCCAGTATTTTTTATTCCTCAAGCGCAGCGCACAACCCTTCTTGAAGAAATTGTTTCACATCAGCTTGGTTGCTATTCTTCGAAAAGGTCATTTCAAAAACAAAATGTCATTTTCAAAACATTTAATCTTTCGTTACACTGCATGGGGCCTTTGAAAAGTTCAGCTGTGGTTGACCATTCATAACCGTGAAACAAATGAAGAGACAATATAATATATCGTAAATATTGAGAAGAAAATCATTTGGATGTTAGTAATTTGAATAGTTTGAATTTTCCAATTCATGAGTGACGAGTGCTATCAGGCGACAGGCGCAACAAGTTGAAGTCTTCCACCATCAAGTGGGACACGCCTGGGTAACCAAAATTTTAAAGGAATATTGAAGACAATAAGTTAGATGCGATTTAGAAATGAGATATTCTTATCGACTGCTTGCCAAGAAATGGTCGAGGCTGATTATACGAGAGCCGTTAGAAGACGAGAGCCTGGCGCTAGTTCTACAGAGCGAAGTTGGCAGCCTCCGCTTCGCTCTCCGGACGTGGGAAGGCAACGGCGTGTTCGCTCTCAAGAAGCTGCCGCCACAAAATCCACTTCATACCGGATTTTGAAACACTAGCAGGCAATCCTTACCAGTGGATAGGCTTAACAGTATCATTAATGAAATGTTAACGATATAAATTCTCACTAAAATATATTTCTAGCTAATTCAGAAACTGCAGGTCTTCCGTCACGCTATTAACATGGTGCGGACGTTGAATAAAAAATTAAGACGATAAGAGAATGAGATTTTTTCGTAAAATGACTAAGATACGACATATTTTTTCCCAGTGAAGGAAATTCAAATCGTCACGAAGATATTATGAACTAGAATATACCCTGGGCGGCTGGGCCTGACCGCCTGAGGATCCAACATATGAAAGTGTAATGAAGATCTGACTTCGTCTCTGCAAAGATTATTGCGTCCCAAATCCCGATCACACATCGCGGTGCTTTCTCCCAATGCTGCTAATTTCAACGACACAAAAGCTCGCGACACCATTCACCTCAAGTCTATAACGATGTTGAAGCCTTGAAGGAGCAGTTTGGTGTCACCACTCACTGTCACGTGTTAGTAATTTGCGGCGCACTCCCCGGAAAGATAAGATACGGTTCAAATTTACGAACCCATGTAAAAACAGTAGCCTTAGAAATTTAATGCTAATATAATCGGTAAATAAAAATACACTTTAGTGCACAATGCAGCTAGCGGGCAAGTTAGATAGATAATATCATGTATCTGATAAGATGATGAACGATCGGCAACGTTATACTAGCGAGTAGAGAGCCACCAATTCTCGACTAACAGTATGGAAACTAAAATCACCTTTCATTCACTCAACTGACTCAAGTGCTATAGTCGTTTCGTTCAATGCGCGCCTGACGGCTCTCGAATCAAGGCAAGACAGAACCTAGTTTGCTGGACATGAAGACGTTAATCGCAACATGTAGCGGATTCGTGAAAAGATAAACAAAATAAAAAACCGTAACTGCATTAAAACCTCACACTAAGACACCTAAATAAATGAAAAAATAACACTGCATGTGGTGTGCTGCTTGGCATGCACGTGCAACTGCCGAACTCACCGGCAAAAAGAGATTACGCGAGCGGAAACCGGCTGATATATGGAGTACGCGCGCCTGAGATATCGTCAGTTTACTGTACGGCCAACGCCAACCGACTGAAACACTTGCAGCAGCTGCCGTCGCTATAAGCCACGCCGGATAAAAAAAAGAAAGCGATGATTCGTCAAAGCAAGAGACACCTCTGCATGCAGCTCAACGCTACCCCCACCCTACCCCGAGAAGAACAGGGTGCATTTCGGGGCTGGGGATTGTCAGCAGGCAAGTTGACTATCAATTATCATATCATAGTGATGTCGGCCCCGAAGAATAGGCCTGATGTGGCCTGTCGCCGATTCTTGTACTTTTCGTGACTTGTCCACAGGAGATCTAAAAACAGGTCCTTTGACCTGATCTTTTAAAAACTGACGATAGTTTGAAATAGCTACTAAACTTCCATCAGGTTCGATATCATCTGCTGCAAGGAATTTTAAGACTGAACATATATTTCTCCATAGCATTTTCTAGTTTCTAGTCTGTTCTTGAACGCGTTCAAACTCGCAGCTTAGTACAAGGTTATTAGAATAAAGACATGACAACAATAAATTTTTATAATAATCATATTAAACCGAGAACAAAGCAAACTTTTCTTTATCAAACGAAAAAATGGTAGTCGATGGATTGGTTTGTAATTAATACGATTGCCAACATGGTGCTTGTGAATGTGATTCGAGTACAAATTAAACTTCCATTCAAACACGTGTTTAAAAAATATATTAATGATTTTTTTATATATGTTGTTCAGGAATGACAACCTCTAGAGCAGGGTTGAGATAGCGTTGCCTTCAGCAGCCCAATAATCGGATCAGCCACAGACATTGTGAGAACTGATAAGTTAATTAAGCTCGACTGCTCGAGGAATGCCGTATACTGAGACTATACTCGATATTGATTTTTTTTTTCAAGCTTTTCTGACATTTTGAACGAAGTCACGACATGAATGACAATCCTACGGAACACATGCAGCGTATACCGATTGCACATAACCATAGACGCAATTGATGAGAAAAAAATCGAAGAAAATGTCAAATATTGCCAATGGTAGCCAGCCAAGGTCACCACCATCTCGACAAAAGTTATGACTGCAAATCATTTAAGACTCGTGAAGCATTTGAAATTTTGCTATAAAATGTAAATTTTTTTTTAAGTCTGAAACTTTAAAAACTATTATGGCTATATCAGTGCAATTTTTCGAATTTCCAATTGACACGTAATATTATGATAAACACCCAATGATAGTGTATCGAACGTAACTATGCCATAAGATGAACTAATTGAGGAGCAGCAAACATAACTTTAGTTGCTCCGTCGAATAGATCATTGTTGCTTCCTGGGATATATAAGGAAGCGAATAATCAATAAATGTTGAATAAAACATCAAAAGGCTTTTATTTTCGTCGCAAAAATCACGAGTTGGCGAATGACAGCTCACGTGTCCTCGTCCGAGGACGACGTATTGCCAGTTTGAAAAGAAACCAAGGCAAACGAGCTCACCTGCTGGCGTGACGAATTGGCCCAGTGGAATTTAAATGCAATACAAAAAATTGGCAGAAGGCAATACAAGCAGCGACGTGGCTAAAACACAAATAATAGCAGTTTAAGCCATTTCTTTTCATCGTTCAGGAAAGATAATCAGGTATCCTCGAACATGAATGAGCTGCCACGCGAAATTACTGGAATCGTTCTAAAAAACATCAAAAGAAATAGGCAGTTCCGTAATTACATTTGTTAATATAATCAGTAAATCAGACGCTGAGAGTGCATCTATGTATTGACTTCGACCCTATAATAATGCGAGCTTAAAAATTTTGAGCAAAGGT